TATCAAATATGCCGTGAGCATTCCGCATATTATGGAAGACTGCGCAAGCATTGACTATTTTTCCAGCAAAGCCAGGTTCATATTGCAAAACTCTGTGTCGAGAATGACATCTCCAAGTAGATTTCAGTACGTTAAAAAGACGTTCGATACAATTTCTTGCGCTACACAACGCTTCGTTATACGCAAAACGTGGAGTTCCTTCCGGTTCTCGGGGCAAAGGAGTTAACAGCCACGGTTCTAACGGATAACCTGAATCACCTGCATATACAAATAATCTACATTTATTTCAGCTTTGTTTAAAATTTTTTAATACAATTCAGATTAGTTACAAGGAACTTAAGAATTTATGCACTGGAACAATATAAAATATAGGATGTATTATGTAAAGTCAACAATACATCGACAATAAAAGCTTTCTACAATTTCTAATGTAAAAAATTATAATAACAATTACCAATAAAATATGCTCGTCGTTCACCACGATTGTATGCGCGTTCCATAACTCGTCGTGCAGCAGAATCATTCCATATATATGCATCGTGTCTTGCTCCGGGATATCTTGCATTCACATTAAGTATTTTCAAATTTGGGTCACATATCTAACAATAAGAGATCGAGCATTGAATGTAATTAGTTATTAATATATAAAACACGTATGAATCAATTATTTAAATATTTACCATTTGCACATTCAGTGAATGATATCCGTGGTGATTAACATAAGCTTCTTCATGCTCTTTCCCATACAGCACAAATCTTCAAAGAACGTTCTAAGGATGTTCTAAGGACATTCATACATTCTAAGAACGTCCCAGAACATTCTCTGAAGATTGTGTGCTGTCTGGGTTGGGAGCAAAAATTGCAATGTGAGTGCAATCAATCGCTCCAAGAGCTCCTTCAAACGGCTGACGTGCATTTTGAAATTGCATTCTCGCTAACTGCCTGGCTCCAGGACTAATGGGGAATTGTTCCCATTGTCTAAATATTAAATCATTGATCGCATCTGTCACTTTGTGTATACATCTGCTGATCGATATCTGGCTCATGGAAATGCCCCACTGCTCACCTACAGGACGTTGAAAACAACCTATTGCGTAAAACCTTACTGCCGACAATATCTATAAAATATATAAGAATATATCGTGAGGAAATTTAAATAAGAAAATGAATATAATCATTGTAATAAAAGAAAAATATATAGTAACAATTTGTATTACTTGTTTCTCTACAAACAACCCTGTGATTCTTGTTCGTTGCAATCGAGGTTCTAATGCATCAATGAGATCAAACATTAAGTCCGATGTTAAGCGGTATAGTTCTTTAAATTCGTCATTTGTCAAATCGAATGGGTCTTCTGTTGCTCGCAACAATTGTCGTTTACGTTGGACTCGATCTTCCATCATCATTAAATGTAAACCAAGATAGGCGAGAGCCACTCTTATAGAAATATCATACTAAGAATCATTGATAATTACTTATTTTTAGTATTAAAAATACTGGATAATAAGTAATTATCAATGATTCTTAGTATGATATTTCTATAAGGGTATAAAGCACATTGATACGATAACTATGTTTTAAACAGTTTTCTTCGAGAGATAAAGTTTATTATTATATAAAATTACGTATCCATATATGGGAACATATCCATATATGGATAAAACCCACGTGCGAACTTGTTTTATACACGGCTTCTATTTCATTACCGCATATCGACAACTACCCGATGAAAAATTTTTCATGCATAATTACATATAAAATTTGTCGATACATAATTATGTATAATTATATATAATTATATAAAATTATATATAATTATACACAGTTATGTATAATCATATGTATAATTACATTTAATTATATGCATAAGTATGTAAAATTATAAATGGAATTATAGATATAATGATACCCCATACAGCACAAAAAGGTTGCAGGAACATTGCATAGATATTACACGGAAACATTGTAACATTCCATCAGGGTTGGGAACGTTACTTTTTAAATGTAACGCGTTACCGTTACCGTTACTTGCGGTAAAAAGTAACTCGTTACCGTTACTCGTTACTGATTCTAAAAAGTAACACGTTACCGTTATTTGAAAAGTAACGATAAATAAATCGTTACTTTCCGTTACTTTTGTAAAAAAAAAAGTTAAAATCGGCTTATAAAACGAATAGTAAGAGAGACAATGCATAAATTATACATATATAAAGACAAAATATAAGATATTTAAGCGGAAAGCACACATTCTTGTATAACGACATAAAACTTATTCTACATTAGTCGCAAAGAAATTGACTAATCATAGTCGATTGTTCTTCTTGCGATCGAAGAATAATCAATTATGATTGGTCAATTTCCTTGCTATCTTGCGATTGCGAGCTATTTTGAATTTCGACAATCTGAGGTCAGATTCCTAAGGGTTAAGGGGCGCCGCACACGAATTGACATAACAGTAATGTAAAACGTACCGTAAAAATGGGCTAATTACAATCGAGTATTCACAAATGGCGACCTTACGGTTCAACGATACTCAAAGTGATTGGTCAATTCTTACGGTACGTTACTGTTATATCAATTTGTGTGCGGCGTCCCTTAACCCTTTCCGGCATAGTGTACCGTATACTGGGCACTTTTTTGCCCTTAGTTTTTTATATTTTTTACATAGTTTTCAACACATCTGTACAGTAAAAAGCACATTATCAATTATGTAGAACATCAGTTGTCGTTAAAAAATTTTGAAAACATTCTTATTGTTGAGGAAATGTATTTTATAAATAAACAAACTACAAAAATACTGCTTTTTTATACAATAAATGTAATTGTGACAACAATAATTAAATAAGCTAAAAATAAGCTGAAAATAAGGTCTAAGCGGTTTTTGGGGTCGCTGATTACGAATCCGGAGTCAGATTTTCAAAATTCAAAATGGCGGATTCAATATGACGGACGAATTTTTAAAAAATTATCAGATTTCTATGAAACTTGGTATTTAAGGGTTTCTTGGGTCGCTAATTACGAATCCGGATTCAGATTTTCAAAATTTAAATGGCGGATCCAATATGGCGGACGAATTTTAGAAAATTATAGTATTTGTATGAAACCTAGTATTTAGTGTTTTTTGGATCGCTGATCAAATTTTCAAATTTAGCATCGTTAGCTCTGCGTAACGCTAAAACGAGATTTTAGCGAGAGAATATTTTCTACCTTTTGAAAAGACTCATTTTTTACATGTTTGGCACACTACATTGGATCAAAAAATTTACTCTTGATTTTAGATTCGTAATCAGCTG